GGGGCCTCTTCGGTTTCTTGGGTGGCAGTTTGGTGTCGTTTGGGGCTCCTTGGCGGCGTCTGGGGCCCCGCGGGGCCTCTTGGGGGGCGCTGCCCCCCCTTCGGATGCGGCGACCCCCGCGATGAGCGTGGAAATGAAGTTGAGCAAGACGGCGGGGGCCGCGCACTGCCTCGAAAAAATGAACCTCTGAAGTCGGATTCCCCGAAGGCCAGAGCCCCCGCAGGGAGCGCCAAAAAGTGACACCAGTTGCTTCCAAGGCGTGCGTTTGAAAATGGGGGGCGCTTGACAGTGCCCTGCCAGAACTGCAGGGAACTTAGATCTACCACGCCCCTGCGTGCAAGGCACGGTGGCGGATAATATTACAGGTGTGGATTTGTTAGAGCCGCGAGAGGCATCCAAGAAGATGCGCGCGGCTGTGAGTGCTGAATTAGGTTTGCCTCCGCAGTGCAGCATATTAACCTCGAAGTCAGCGTTCGTGCGTGGCCGTGCTGTTGCTATGGGAGACGTGATCGTGTTCTCAAAGGGTGACGGGTCGGCTGCGTTTGGTCAGCTCTGGTTTCATTGCAAAGTGTTTGATGATGTTCTTCTTTCTTGCGTGACTGAATGGGAGGTTGTGCAACAGCTTCCGACAACGGCAAAGTGCATTGTGCGAGAGGCGCCGTTGATGCTGCACACCTCATGTATATTGGAGCCCTGCATCGCTTCAGTTGCGCGCGTTGGCGAGGTGTCGACGGCATTGCATCCGCCAAAGCTGAAACTCAGGGCTTCGAGGAAAAATTGAGACAGCTCGTATGTGGAAAAATGGAAAAATATCGAAATACAGTCAACGTTTCAGTCCTGGTTTGTCGTTGTTCCTTGACAGCAGGCAGTGTTGCAAGCTGCAACGAGACATTCAACGCGCATCACCGCACTGTGTGACACCGCAGATATGCCGTGCCAGCGTGGCAAGCAAACACGCCCAGCGAAGCACACAATACCATACACATAGTCACTATGTTTTTTTAGGGGTAAATCCACAAAACAAAAATGAGAAACCAACAAAAAAACAACGCTAATATCAAAAACATGCAAAATAAAATAAAATAACACCTTCAATTCGGAAAAAAACAGACGCAATTATGTTATTTTCTGCCGTTTCTATCCAGATCTAACCTGGTTCGTTCTAGTTGGCTTAACCAGGTTCGCGGTTAGAATGATTAGCTAACCTGGTTAGGTAACATGGTTAGTATTAGTTCCTTTCCTGTTCCAACTGCTTCGCAAGCAGCTTGGCGCATCCTGGTTAGAGTTGGGGCGAACTAAGTCGAAGCGCCCTAACAGGATAGGAACCCCACGGAACATTCAAGTAAGGGCTCCCCACCCCTCCTCCAACTCCTCCCCACTCCGTCGCACTGCTCGGCAAACCTCACCGCTCCTCCCGACTCTTCCCTACTCCATCGCAGTCTTCGGCCCTCCTCGGCACTCTTCCCGCCTCCTCCCCACTCCATCGCAATCCTCAGCACTCCCCCCCGCTCCTCCAAGCTCCTCCCCACTCCATCGCACTCCGCGGCTCTCCTCCCAGTTGCCCCAAACTCCTCACCACTCCATCGCCCTTCTCGGCCCTCCTTGGCACTCTTCCCGACTCATCCCCACTCCATCGCACTCCTCACCGCGACAACGACGCTGACGACGACGACGACGATCGATTACGAGCGCGACAAGGGCGAGGACGAGGACGAGGACGACGACGGCGACGGCGACATCCAGAGACCGCCGGAGGCCCCCGGAATCCCTGGAGGTTTCCTGGGACTCCCCCCTTCTCTGAATCCCCTACTCCGTCGCACTCCTCGGCACTCTTCACCACTCCTCCCGACTCACTCCGCTCCATCGCACCCTTCGGCCCTCCTCGGCACTCATCACGACGTACTCCTCCCAGCTCCATCGCTCTACTGAGCACTCCTCCCGGCCCCTCCCGACTCCTCCCCACTTGATCGCACTCCGCGGCCCCCCCCAACTCTTGTGAACTCCCACCCCCGCGACTGCGACGACGACGACGACGCCGACGCCGACGCCGACGGCGACGACGACGACGAAGGGGACGACGACGACGACGACGACGACGACGACGACCGCCACGACGACGACGACGACGACGACGACGACGACGACGACGACGACGACGACGACGACGACGACGACGACGACGACGACGACGACGACGACGACGACGACGACGACGACGACGACGACGGACGACGACGACGGCGGCGGCGGCGGCGGCGGCGCGGCGGCGGCGGCGGCGGCGGCGGCGGCGGCGTCGGCGCGGGCCGGCCGGCCGGCGCGCGCGGAACACCGATGACGACAACGACGGGACGAGGACGGGGGCGACGACGACGACCGCGACCGCGACGACGACGACGGCGACGACGACGACGACGGCCGCGGCGGCGGCGACGACGGCAACGACGACGACCACGACGACGACGAAGACGACCATGACCACGACCACGACCTCGACCACGACGACGAAGACGAAGGCGAAGGCGGCGGCGGCGGTGCTGACCGGCCGGCAAGCGAGCGCGGAGCACCGCGCGCCCTGCGTATTCCCCGAACCCAACTGAAAGGGCTGGGCCGTCGGCGTCGTCGTCGTCGTCGCCGCCGTCGCCGCCGCTGCCGCCGCAACGTCGTTGTTGTCGTCGCCGTCGTCGTCGTCGTCGTTGCGACGAAGAGCAGGGAGCAAACAATGAGAGGACGAGGGAAGGGAGAGAAAGGGAAGGGAGGATATGCAGGGGGAGTTTTACGCCGCGCGCGGTCGGGCACTTCGACCATCGCGCGGGGGGGGGGGGCCCGATGGCATCAGCATGAGGGGGGGGCCAGACCCTGGACCATCTATCCCATATCCGTCTGTCGATCCGTCCATCCATCCGTACCTCCATTCATCCATCCAGTCCTCCCTCCCACCCCGCGCCCACGCCCCAAAGACCCACCCCACTCGCTCCCGCGCAGCCCCCCCCCGCCCCCACAGGACCTCCCCCCCGCTGCTCCCACAGGAGCCCCCCGCCTCGCTACCACAGGGGGGGGGTGCGCCGGTGCGCCCGGTACAAAACCCCCCAGGAAAGAGGGAGGGGGGGGGGTTCAGGTCTTCGGCGGCACCCGGTGCGCCCTGTACAAAACCCCCCAGGAAGGCGGGGGGGAGGGATTTCGTGCCGCGGGGCACCGCCGACATGTATCGGAGGTTGGGGGCGAGATCGAAGTGGAACGGAGAGCCCCCCACCGGGAAATCGGTTTCGGTTTCGTGTTCGTGCGTGCCGTGCGTGCGGGCGAGGCGAAGCTGCGTGGGCGGGCGAGAGGAAAGTCTCCTGTGGCTGAGGCGCGGCCGGACCACATGATTCCCCCCCTGGCAAACGGTGGCCCGCGGTGTCCCGCCGGTGTCCCGCTGGTGTCCCGCTTGTGGCTGGGCCCCGGCCGGGCCAAATGATTCTCCCTCTGGCAAGCAGTGGCCCGCGGTGTCCAGCCGGTGTTCTGGTGTCCCGCTGGCACGAAAACGATAGTGAGACCGATGGCGAAATCGATTGTGAGAACGATAGTGAGATCGATAGTGAGACCGATACTGAGATCGATCGTGAGATCGATAGTGAGATCGATTGTGAGATGAATAGTGATATCGATTGTGAGATCGAGTGGCATCGATAGGGAGATCGTTTGTGGGATCGATAGCGAGATCCAGGGTGAGAACGACAGTGCGATCGATCGAGTGAGATCGATAGTGAGATCGATCGAGTGATTTCGATAGTGGGATCGATGGTCCCATCGATCGTGGAGCCGATAACGACATCGCTTGTGCGACGCTGTGAGGCATCCGCCGCCGGCCCGCTCCCGCCGCCTTTACGTTCCGATGTTCGACCGCGCGGTGCCAGAAAAACAGCAAGCGTGCGCCATCCCCGAAAAGCTCCCAAGAGGCACCCAAGAGCCCCCCAAGAACCCCCCAAGAGGCCTCCAAGACCCGCCAAGAGGTCCAAAAAACGCGCCCAAACGGCCGCCCACACCCCTGCATAATGAACGACGTAAATTATTATTTCGTTGGTTCCCGGGGGGGAGAATGATGCCAAGTTGCCCAAGAGCGAAGGATGACGTAAACAACTCGACATCATGGCTGCCAAGAGCGAGCGGCAACGCAACAATCACCACTGTTGCCTATTGCTGGCCCCCCCCGCCCCAACCTCCTTATCACCCGCAGGGTGGTCGTATAGGTGTGTATATATATATATATATATATGGATTTAAGATGCAGGGCCCCGACCCCGCCAAAATGCTGATGGAATCGCCCCCCCGCTTGACGGGTACCCCGCGGGCGTCGCGAAGGCCTCGCGAAGGAGTTCCCCCCCATGTAGGCGTGGCGTGGTGGAGGGGGGTGCCGGTGACCCCTCCCCCCCTATGGGTGTGGCGTGCTGCTGCGGTGTCGTCGTCGTCGTCGTCGTCGTCGTCGTCGTCGTCGTCGTCGTCGTCATTGTCATCGGCGTCGGCGTCGGCGTCGGCATCGGCGCCGGCGTCGGGGTCGGCGTCGGCGTCGGCGTCGGCGTCGGCGTCGGCGTCGGCGTCGTCGTCGTCGTTGGCGGCGGCAGCGTCGGCGTCGGCGTTGGCGGCGTCGGCGTCGGCGTTGTCGTCGTCGTGGTCGTCGTCATCGTCGCCCCACCCCATCCCATCTGGAGAGGGAGGGGGGCCCTGTGGAACCCTGGGGCCCATGCCATCTGGGGGTGGAGGCGCCTGTCAACCCTCTCCCAGGGTCATATATAATCTGATTTGATGTGTGTATATATAAATACATATATGTATGTATATGTGTGCACACATGTACCCCCTCCTCGCAAGGAAACACCAGCCGCGTGTTCCGGGGTTTCGTGCCCGGCTCCCGTCGCCGGGCTTCGCCGCCCCGCCCCCCCCGCTCCGGGTCCCTTCGGCCCACCGGCGCGTCCACCGCCACCCCCGGCGACTCTGCACAGCTGCCGCAGCGGAGGGCCGGCACCATGGCCCCCCCTGACCCGTGGGCGCGCGGCGCGGACCCGTGGGCGGCGGCGGCCTCTGCCACGGCGGCCGCGCCGCGGCCTGCGGCCGCGGCGGCGCCGGACCCGGCCCCCGCCGCCAGCGCGGAGCCGCCGAGGCCGAAGGCGGCGGGCGAGGACCCCTTGGCGGGCGGCGACCCGTGGGCGGCCGCCGCCCAGGCCAGCGCGAGGCCGCCGGCGCCGGCCCCGCGGCAGGAGCCGCAGCCGCAGCCGTGGGCGAACTTCCAGAGGACGGGGGCGGGCGCGGCGGGGGGCCAGCGCGGGCGGGCGCAGGCCGAGGGCAAGGAGAAGGGCAAGGGCTCCGAGAGGGTGTCGGAGAGCGGCGGCAAGGCCGGCGCCGGAAAGGGCGCGGGGAGGGCGAAGCAGACGCGGAAGCTGGGCGACTGGTTCGTCCATCCCGTGGAGGAGGAGCCTGGCCAGTGGGGCTTGGACGGTGGAGGTTCCAGCTCTTCTGGGATCGGAAGGGGTAAGGCGCTGATCCAGCCGTCCTGGAAGACGTCGACCGGGCTGACTTCAGGTCAGCCGCCTTCGCTCGCCGAGGAGTACGTCGGCCCGCCACCCGTGCCGCTGTCAGAGTGGCAGATTGCGCAGGCGAAGCACCGCCAGGCTTGGCTGCACAGGGAGGCCGCCTCGAGGCAGGCCTTTGCAAGCTTCGAAGTGGAGGTGAAGGAGCCCTTCGATGAGAGCTGGCCGGGATGTTGGCTCGCGTGCCCGACGAAAGGCGAGGCCCTGCTCGTCCTCAGTTCCAGAGGGGAGGACCTCGTTTATGTCATGGCGCACTGCCGTGCCGAGCAATCGTGCGGCTGGGTACCCGTTGATCACGTCCAGCCGCTCGGCGGCACGGGGGTGCACGATTTCTTGGTGCGATTAAGCGTCGAGGACGTCAGGGGCAGGCCCATTGGGCTGCAAGTCGCGAAGGCAGAGGGAGCTATCAGCGGCCTCGTCGTGGTCGACGTGCAGCCGGGCTCCCTGATAGAACTCTGGAACACGAGGTGCGTGCCCAACTTCGGCAGAAACCAGCTGTTGCTCGGAGACGTCATAACGTGGGTGAACAACATGTCCGAGCCAGAGGATATGAAGCGCGCCCTGCGTTCCCTCAGCATCGGGTGACTGGAAGACTTCGGTCAGGCAGACTTGGCCGGGCGAGGACAACTAGACAGATCCAGATCCACTTTAGTTCTTCCACCCCTTTCCCCCAGAGGAGGAGGAGGAGGAGGAAGACAATCAGATGTGGAGTGGACCTGTATAACTGCTCAGCTCCGAACTATGGGCTGGGGCTGGGGAGGGCGGAAGTTCTTTCCCCCTCCAGCGCGCGTGGCGCCGCGCAAGAGTGGCCCCTCACGGGAGCGACCTTCGGTGCAGGCCCGCGGGGGTCCCCCCCGCAGCAGTGGCGCGCGCGCCTGGATCGGGGAAACGCAAGGCTCGAGTATGCCGGGGCTCGGGTTCGCCTGCGCTTTGCGACGAGCCCGCCCCGAATGTGGACGGTTCAGTGTTCGTGGGATGTCTGCAGTGAGAGCTCGCGTCAAATTTCAGACTGGGCCTCGTCATTTTCATGACGGCCTCGTCAGGCCAACCCGAGTTGATGGGCTTGTTTTCCACCACCACCACCACCACCACAAGTTGGAGGGGGAGGGGGTCCTCCTCCTCCTCCTCCTCCTCCTCCTCCTCCACCACCACCACATCCCTCCCCCCTCCAACTTATGGTGGTGGTGGTGGTGGTTGAAACCAGGCCCATCACGAGCCCCCCGAACTGGGGTCTCACGTCTCCCCGACTTGGATGTGCGCCACCTCCCCCGGGACGAGCTCCGACAACCGCGCCCAGAGGTCGCTCTCGCCTGGGATCACACTTGTTGGAGGCTTCGAAGTTGGCATCAACACCAAAGCAGGGGGGTGCGCCCACTGGGGGAGGACGATCATAAATTTCCGTGCTGGTGGCAATCTTTTGGCCACCTAGGAAGCCAGAAAATCACCACCATCACCGATATCGGGATCATCTCCCCTCTGGAGGCACACGGCCGATTCTGGCGCTGGTGTCAACCTCTGGGCCTGCCAGCTTGGGGTGGACCCTGCGGGACGAGCTCCCGGTCGAGTGCGTTGGCCCTGCCCCCCCGATCGGCACGGCACGCCCAGGTTCAGGAGGGCACAAACACAAACAGGCACAAGTCATCGGCGATTCCCAGGAGCACGTGGGAAGATGAGGGAAGGGGGGGGAAGACGAAGCTCCACAAGAGATTGAACAATACCGGGAATCCTGGGATTGGTGTGTATTTATTTGTGTGTGTGTGTCCCTGGGCCCCTTCGAAGGTGCCGACCCGCTGTCGAGCATTGGCTGTGGCTTACCCCCCCCCTTCCTTGGCACTCCTGTGGCTCGAGGAAGGAAGCGCTGCACAGGCATAAATCCTGGGCGCTCCGCGCGGATGTCTCGGATCGGCGCTGGACACCCCCTTGGCGGAGCCACCAGCGCCGCCTCTGGCGCGCTCCGCGCGCCAGGGGGGGGGCTCTGGCGCCGATCCCAAGAGGTCCAAGCCCTCCAAATGGGGTCAGAGTAGGCGGGGTCGGAGGATTGCGCCGCGTCGCCGATGCCTCGGCGCTGCAGCCCGACGTGGAGTCCCGATGTCCTCCACGCCGAGGGCGCTGATGCACCGCCGACGTCGCTGGTGCAGCGGCGCTGCACTTTGTGGTGCGGCGCCCTTCTCCGACCCCATCCACACTTGATTCGGCCCTGTCCCCCTACAGGTGGATTTTCGACGAAAAATAAAAAATACCCCAAAAATAATCAAAACGTAGTCCAAAAATAGCCCGGGGACTATTTTTGTTTTTTTTTATCATCTTTTTGGCGTATTTTTGTCCGCGGGGGAAGACACCAAACATGACCAAGATGTCGCATGATCCTGTCGGCGCCGCTCTTGGTCATGATCTATGCTGGCCGTCGCCGATTCGCGAGGATGATCCACGAGATGACGATGACCAGGATGGGTGGTGACCAAGATTGCCACGACGTAACCCTTTTCAGTCTCCGTCATGTTCTCCGTGTTCTTCCCGTCAATGTGTTGTTACGGGATTGGGAGAAGGAGGCGGGGTGAGGAGGATGAGGCATGAGGGGGTGACAAGAAGGAAGAGTGATCAAGGGGGAGCAGGAGAATGAGCAGAACGAGGAGGACGATCAGGGGGAGCAGCAGCATGATGAGCAGAATGAGCAGAATCACATCTTTCAGGCGATCGCAAACATGGAACAAGGGGGCGTGGATTGGCGACGGGTCCCGTTTCCATGAGAGATCGCGGATTTCTGCCGCCGAACAAGGCGGCACCAGCCGTATTTTGGGGAGGGCACTTCCCCCGATCCATGGACTTGGCGACCGCGCGCCAAATCCATGGATCGCTAATCCATGTTTGCGCGCCCCCGGCATTCCCCGGGACCAGTTTTTTTATCCTGAGTCGTGTCTTTTCGGTCCCAAGACACCAGTATAGGGGCCTGCAGAGGCTGAAACATAGCGAACACCCCTCCGTCGCGTTGTTTCACGCCTCGAGCGGGTCTGGGGGCGTGGGGACCACGCAAGCCCAGCCAATTCTGCCGCTTGGCCCTCCGGTCAGCCAACAGCAGCGGCCACCACCTGCGGGCCCGCGTGCTGCGCTGCGCGCTCGCGCCGCCCTGCCGGGAGGAGGAGCTGCGCGCGCTGCTGCGCGCGCGCTCGCACGCTGGGGCGGACGGCGCGGGGGCCTCTGGGGCGGGGTTCGCGGAGGAGGAGCCCATACCGCTGCCCTTCGCCTTCTTGGCCCTCTCGGGAGGCCCTCGTCGCCACGGCTGGATTCGCCGCGAGGTCCTGGTCTGAGCGCACCCCGGGAGAGGTCCGGGGCGCAGCTGCACCGGTATCTCTTGGCTTCCCCAGGTTCGGAGGCTGCCGCGCCTGGTCCGCGGCGGAGGCACACGTTGCCCCAGTGCCCACGGCGCCGACCAGCGCGGGCGCAGGACTCGAGGTCCACGACGAGGAGGGCGCGGCGGACCCTTGGGATGGCATGGAGGGCCAGGGCGACGAGCACGGCGCCTCGCCGTGGCAAGACATGTCGGAGGCGGGCGCCGCTGTGCTCAGTGGGCCCAGCGTCCCGGTTCAGAACCAGCATGTCCAGCAGGTTCTCGCGGCCGCCGTGTCCAAGAGGCGGGCCGCGGGCACCGTGCCCAGCAAGCCCACCTTCCAGTTTGCGACCGCCGTGTCCAGCAGCTTCTCGCTCGCGGGCGCCCTGTCCGGCTTCGCGGCGCGTGCAGAGGAGACTGCAGGCTCCGCAATGCCTGTCTGGGAGGCGCCCAAGGGCTTCTTCGTGAACGGTTCGGCCACCAACAGCTTCACGCCCAGCGTCCCGCCCCCCGCGCATGCCCCTGGCGAGGGTCCCCCCGCGCTGGCAGCGGGCAGCATGCGCGCGGGAGCCCCCGAGTTCGTGCCGGCGGGCCACGGCAACCTTGCCGTGGTGGCCACGGCAACGCTGCCAGGGCTGATGGGCGCGGCGGCCGCGCCCAGCGCGGCGGCGGCCCCTGTCGGCGGCGCGGCGGGCGGCGCTGTCGACCCCTGGCAGTTCAGCGACCCCTGGGGTGGCGTGGCCGGGAGGCGGCCCGACGGCAGCCCTCCCGGGGCCGGCCCCGCCGCCCCCGCCGCCCCGCCGAGCAGCACGGGCCTCGAGCACGTCGCCGCTCCAGCTGGCCCCGCGGCAGCAGCGGCCCCGGGCCCGCCGGCCGCTGCGGAGAGCGCGGGTGCCCTGGCGGCGGACGGCGGCGGTGACGGCGGCGCCCGTGCGGAGCCTGCCAGTGATGACCGCGCCAGTGAGCCCGCTGCTGGCGCGGGCGGCTCCGCGGAAGTGGATGACCAAGAGGACGAATCCTTCCTGTGAGGAAAGAGTCGGGGAGCAAACAATTACGTACACATGTGTGAGCCCGCGCAGCGTTGGGTCCACGGCGAGCCCCCCCCCGGGGAAACCAGCCCGCAGGTGCGGCATGATGGCATGTCGTGGGCCAGGTAAGGGCAGGAAGTGGGGGCCCGAGGAGGATGGGAGGAAGGAGAAGGAGAGCGAGGGATGCTTCTTTATGGCCTCTTGGGGCGCTCTTTGTGGAACCCTTGGCGCCGCTTGGGGGGGTATTCGGGGCCTCTTGGGCGCTATGGGACCGTCTTGGAGGTCTCGTCGGATGGATTGGGAGCCTCTTGTGGCCGTTTGGGGCCATCCTGCGGGCCTCTTGGAGGCCTCGTGGGCCGTTTGGGGGTCATTTTGGAGACCTCGTAGGCGGTCTTGGGCTGACAGGAACAAGAAGAGGCGAGGACGCGTGTTCTTGTCATCCAGAACCACTGGTGCACTGGTGGATCAATATCGTTTGCTCCGTGAAGCCCTCCTGGGCCGTATTGGGAGCTTCTCGGGCAGACTCCAGGCCATCCTGGGGTTCTCTAAAGGCGCCCTGAAGCCATCTCGGGTCCTCCTGAGGCCACGCTCGGGCCATCCGGGTGACACCTCGTGCCGTCTTGAGAACACCCCGAGGCCCCTTCGAGCTCTCGAGAGAGCATCGCTGGGGAGTGCCAACTGGGGATGCCCGAGGCACCCCCCGCTCTTCTCCGACGTCCCACGTCCCACCGGCCGCACGACGGACCGAGGCACAGGACCGAGGTCGGTTCGCAAGGGCTCCCACGAGGGTGCGAAGTTATTCGCGCTTCGCGGTCCTCGTTCCTTCTCCTCCTCCTCCTCCTTGTCCTCCTTTTCTCCCTTTGGGGGGGTGGCGCGAGAGCGCGAAGTTATTCGCACTTCGCGCTTCGCGCAGCGCGAAGCGCGAAGTTGGGAGCCCTTGGTTCGGGGAGGGTGCTCGAATGCTCTTCGTGCTTGCTGGACGCCTCCCGGGGGAGGGCGCCCTCGAGTGCCCTTCGGTCTGGGCCGGCGGAGGGCCTCGTGCTCCTGCAGGGTGTGTCGTGGCCTGGGCGCTCCTGCAGGGTGCTCTGACGCTCTTCGTGCCTGCCGGACGCTCCTTGCGCCTCCCGGGGGAGGGCGCCCTCGAGTGCTCTTCGGTGTGGGTCGGCGGAGGGCCTCGCGCTCCTGCAGGCTGTTTCGTGGCCTTGGCGCTCCTCGCGGCGCCCACGCCTGCACGGCCGAAGCGGTTCAGCGGGCCAGCCCGTCACTGCTGCGGGTTCTGTAGAGGTCGGGGCCACGGCCAAGCACTGCTGTGCGCACGAGCTCCGTGCCTGCCAGGTCGCGCCTCGATCCTGTAGTGCCCCCCTGTCCTCAGGACCCCACGCCCGAGGTCCCCAGCTTTGCAGTTCGCCGCCCACCAAGCCACCCCAAGCCCAACCCGAAGGCTCCGATGTGCCTTCCATCTCCAGTGGGGGGGGGGTCGGGAGCCTTTGACAAAAACACATGAGGCCCGTACCCCCCCCAACCCAACCCGAAGTCCGGGCGAACGTCGGGTCTTCGGGTGGCTTGGCAGTTAGCCAGAAGTCCCGACTTCTGTCCTCGGTCCGCCCGTGCTTCCGACGTCGTGATTTTTTCACAACGTCGACCCCCAGAAGTCTGGACCCTTTCCCCGTCGTTCTTTCGCGTTCCCGAGGCCCGGTGAGGACCTCCAGAGGGCGGAAATTGCGAAAAACCTCCCGTCGTGATTTTCTTCACGGCGCGAAGAGGTCTGGGTTCCCAGGTCCTGCCGGCCGCAGACTGCTCTCCGAGCCCTCCGGCCCTCCAGGCTATTCGCACGCGGCCGCTGGCCGCCCAGCGCCCGCTCCTCTCGCGCCCGCCGTGCCGAGCCCGCAGAGCCCCGGGGGGCCATGGCGGGCCCCTCCTCGGGGCACGAGACTGTTCATGCCCTGATCACCCGTTCTCCGGGTTCCGAACAAAAACTTCTGCAGGATGCATCTCCGGGGAACTTCCCTGCGATTTCGAGCCCGAGACCTCAGGATATGCATAGGCATCTTGGAGCCTGCAATTTCCATCGCGATGGAAATTTCGATTGCGATTTCCAGCCCCAGACTTCTGCATGTTCGAGCCTGCAATTTCGAGCGCATTACCCAGTTTTTCCCAACCATCCTGTGGTGTTGGGTCCTCGTTTTGAAGAGACAGCGCCCCGCGTTCACTCCTCCCGCTGCCCCCTCCCCTCATCATCATCATCATCATCATCATCATCATCATCATCATCATCATCATCATCATCATCATCATCATCATCATCATCATCATCATCATCATCATCATCATCATCATCATCATCATCATCATCATCATCATCATCATCATCATCATCATCATCACACCATCATGACGATCATAGGGAGCTCCAGCGAAGGCCCCAGTGGCTGCGCTCCCATGCGCCCACCGCACAGATTTCGGCACACCCCTCACACGTTTCGTGGCCCCATAGGGAGCTCCACCGAAGGCCCCAGTGGCTGCGCTCCCATGCGCCCACCGCCCCATTTCGGCACACCCCTCACACGTTTCGTGGCCCCATAGGGAGCTCCAGCGAAGGCCCCAGTGGCTGCGCTCCCATGCGCCCACCGCACCCATTTCTGCACACCCCTCACACGTTTCGTGGCCCCATAGGGAGCTCCAGCGAAGGCCCCAGTGGCTGCGCTCCCATGCGCCCACCGCACAGATTTCGGCACACCCCTCACACGTTTCGTGGCCCCATAGGGAGCTCCACCGAAGGCCCCAGTGGCTGCGCTCCCATGCGCCCACCGCACCCATTTCTGCACACCCCTCACACGTTCGTGGCCCCATAGGGAGCTCCAGCGAAGGCCCCAGTGGCTGCGCTCCCATGCGCCCACCGCACCCATTTCGGCACACCCCTCACACGTTTCGTGGCCCCATAGGGAGCTCCAGCGAAGGCCCCAGTGGCTGCGCTCCCATGCGCCCACCGCACCCATTTCGGCACACCCCTCACACGTTTCGTGGCCCCATAGGGAGCTCCAGCGAAGGCCCCAGTGGCTGCGCTCCCATGCGCCCACCGCACAGATTTCGGCACACCCCTCACACGTTCGTGGCCCCATAGGGAGCTCACCGAAGGCCCCAGTGGCTGCGTTCCCATGCGCCCACCGCACCCATTTCGGCACACCCCTCATACGTTTCGTGGCCCCATAGGGAGCTCCAGCGAAGGCCCCAGTGGCTGCGCTCCCATGCGCCCACCGCACCCATTTCGGCACACCCCTCATACGTTTCGTGGCCCCATAGGGAGCTCCAGCGAAGGCCCCAGTGGCTGCGCTCCCATGCGCCCACCGCACAGATTTCGGCACACCCCTCACACGTTTCGTGGCCCCATAGGGAGCTCCACCGAAGGCCCCAGTGGCTGCGCTCCATGCGCCCACCGCACCCATTTCTGCACACCCCTCACACGTTTCGTGGCCCCATAGGGAGCTCCAGCGAAGGCCCCAGTGGCTGCGCTCCCATGCGCCCACCGCACCCATTTCGGCACACCCATCACACGTTTCGTGGTCCCATGGGGAGCTCCAGCGAAGGCCCCAGTGGCTGCGCTCCCATGCGCCCACCGCACCAATTTCGGCACACCCCTCACACGTTTCGTGGCCCCATAGGGAGCTCCAGCGAAGGCCCCAGTGGCTGCGCTCCCATGCGCCCGCACAGATTTCGGCACACCCCTCATACGGTTCGTGGCCCCATAGGGAGCGCCATCGAAGAAGATACTCACAATTGCGGTACTCGCAACTGCATCTGGTTGGGTCCTTCGCCAGGATAATTTTGCATCACCCGGGTTATCGGGCTTGACCCCCCCCTCCCCCCCCCCAGAACAACCTAATCTTGCCGGTTGTGCAGGTGGGGGCGCGGGCATATGCAGGGTTGCCCACAGCGCGAAGGTCAGGTTATCCGCCGGCCCCCTCCTACCCCCCCCCCCCCAGATTACCCCGGTTATCGCCGATTCAAAAAACCGTCTCCACTACAGTGAATGCGCAGACTAAGGACGCGCGCCTTTTCTAGGGTACCCTTCTGTCCTTGCCTCTGCGGCCCGTCCTTTGCCGTTTCCATTGTTTTTTGTTTGGGGGTCCGCCGAACCAGCTTCCAGCGCGAATAGGCATGGCAACGGCAAGATGCGTATGTCACGCAATACCTCTTGGAGGCGGTGTGGACATGTTCTGAGTTATTCAGAGATGATGGTTGCTAGCCGAGAGGCGGCCTGGACAAATTGAATGCTTATTCAATCGCTTCGCTCACTCCGCCGGCCCATCTTTGGGCACTGCTGCGTCGACTGGCCGAGTGGTCGTTGGCGGTGTTGAGCTGCAGGGGCGTCGGCTGTTTTCTGAGGCGTTGCGTGGGGCATGATGTTGGGGCGATTCGTCTGGATTTCTTGGGAGTTGTCAGGGGAATCGGTCGCTTTTCACGGGGCGGCTAGTTGTGTGGTGCTTTGTTGGACTTCGGGTGCCTTCGTGGGGGTTTGTTGGTCGTGGATGCTCACTCTGGGGCTTGTCGATGGGGCGCAGGGGACACTTGATGTGATGATGGAACCCTCGTGTCCGAGGGTGGCGGGCCGTCTTGGAACAATCTTTCGGCGATTCGGGGCCCCTTGGACCGTCGCAGGGGCGTCTCGGAGCCTTCGTGGCGCGTTCCTGGAGCGCTCTGGGAGGTCTGGAAGGCAGCCCTCTTGGGCCGTCTTGGAGCCCTCTTGGGCGCATCTCGGGGGCACGTTGGGCCATCTTGGGGCGATCTTGGGGGGCTTTTGAGCAGTCTTGGATGTGTGAACCTCCGAACGTCGTCTACCCGAGAAATGTGCGTTTTCCGAACGAAATGAGACGATTGTTGCTTGTAGGGGCCCTCTTGGAGGGCCTCTTGAGGCTCTCTTGGAGCTTCTCGGCGGCGTGTTTGGCCGTCTGAAGACCAGCATGGGCGTCTTGGAGCAATATTTCAGCGAGACTCGGGGCCTCTTGGACCGTGTCGGGGGCGTCACGGAGCCTTCTTGGCGCGTTCCTGGAGCGTTCTGGGAGGCCTGGAAGGCAGCGCCGAGGGAACACCATCTGTGAACCGAACTGGCCAGGACCTGGTCGGGGTACTTTTGGTCCGGGAAACCCCAGAAGCCGCCCCGCGCGCGCGAACTAGAATACATTGTTAATCAGTTACCAGAGGGTTTAGCACGCCTCTGGCCGGGAGGGCCGGCGAATTTTACAATACATCGGTGCTTGCCCACGCTGGCGGCGTGGGCTAGGGAGGCGAGGGAGGAAACACGGGAACCATGCGCGCTCCATGGTACAGTGCGTAGACGGTGTCTACAGAGTGGGCAGTGGGGGGCGGAGAACCCCGGGGTGCCCAGGGACGGGCCCAAGAGGGAGGGAGGGAGGCAGGGGGGGAGGGGAAAGCACGAACATCATGCCGCCCAGGCGTCCCTTGGGGTTTTGGTCGCCCGCCGCCCCAAAAAACTCCCGGCTTCGGCCTCCAAGGGTCTTGCGTCCTTACCGCTCGTCCTGTAGAGCCCGCGCGCTCTGACGTTGGGCATGTCGCGGGGCCGTCAAGGGGGGGGGGCCCAGGGGGGGCGTCGTCGTCGACGTCGTCGTCGTCGCCGCCAGGGGCCAGGGGGGGGGGCAAGCACTGCAACGTTCAGCGCTGGACGGGAGCCGGCTCTGCGGCATCCTGCTCACGCGCAAGCACTGGCGGAGGCCACCGCAGGTGTGCGATGGCACGATCGTGCTCTCTGACACCCTTCCTGTGGTGTTGGGTCCTTGTTTTGAATCCGTAGCGCCCCGCGACACTCCTCCTCCTCCTCCTTCCGCTTCTCCCTCCTCCCAGTCATGTCTCTGTCCTCCGCATGTCCTCCTCGCCATCATCGTCATCAACAACAACATTCACATGATCGTCATTATCACCATCTTGATCATCGTCTTGATCACTATCAGCAGCATCACCATCATCCTCATCATCATCATCATGTTCACCATCATAATCATCATCATCATCATTTTCATCATCATCATCATCATCATCATCGTCATCATCATCATCATCATCAGCATCATCATGATCATGATCATCACCATCACCATCATCAGCAGCATCATCATGATGAGCAGCAGCTTCAGCAGCAGCTTCATCATCATCATCAGCTTCAGTACCATAACCATACCCTTGCCACCACCTCACACGCTTCATGGCTCCCTGGGGAGCTCCTCCGAAGGCTCCAGTGGCGGTGACCACTTGAGTTGCCGCCTTTGATTTCGGCTCACCCCTCACACTTTACGTGTCCCCGTAGGGAGCTCCACCGAAGGCCCCAGTGGCAGGGCTCGCATGCCACCGCCGCCCCTATTTCGGCACATCAATCACACGTTTCGTGGCCCCGTAAGGAGCTTCACCGCAGGCCCCTGTGGGAGGGCCCGCATGCCACCGCCGCACCAATTTCGGCACAGGCCCTCCAGGACAGCTCTGGGAACCGACCAGCGTCAGTTTCCCGTTAGTTTTTGAAGTTTTGTAGGGTGCTCACCTTTTCGGGCTTCAGACTGCCCAGGACGGTCCAGAGGTGCTACATTGACATGTCGCTCCAAGACGGCTCAAGAGGCCCCCACGAAACCCCCAAGGGAGCCCCGAGGGGTCCGAGACGGCCCAAGAAAGCTCCGATACGGCTCGGGAGAGCTCCAAGAGGGCCCCAATAGTGCAATGGTCCCGCTTTGACCATTTCCTTGCTAGCAATGCGTATGGTAACACTCTCCTCCTCTGACCATGCTCGTCTCGATGCTAAAAAAGATCTCGTAGAGCTCGATGCTAAGAACGATATCGTCGGGCAGCGTCGATTGCGATGCTGATCACACTCGTGACGATGGTGGCAGTACTGGTTGGGCAACAGGCACAGTAGGTGTCCTGCTGCTCTCGGCCGCAAGTCAGAAAATCCTGCAGCGGCTTGCTGCAGCAACGTCTTGAGCCAGAACGGTTTCGGAAGAAACGTCATGGAAATGTGTGAATCAAATATAGCGGGCCTCTTGGGCTTGGGGCTCCAAGAGTGCTCTCGGGGAGACCATTCAGCATGGCTGGGCTGCAAACGCAGGGCATGAACACGACACGCCGTGAAACGCACGACTATACATGGAGTGGGCTCTTGTAGAGCCCTGAACTGTATAGCATGGCTCCTGCGGATCCACGGAAACTATCACGGTCGGCCTTTGGGTCCAATCTGTCGCAAGTGGGCACCAGGAAGACCGGCGATGGGCGCTGAGTTGCATGCCCCAAAGATCAGATTCCGTGTTACGGCATCGAAGCCTGCTTCTGGCTTCTGAATTCACAGGACGAACATAGCGCAGGATAGGCTTCACTGGCCGCCAGAGGGCCTCATCTCCGGCAGGTCTGACCTGCACGTCCTCGCTCCCTTTCTCGCGTGAGAAGTAGATCAGGGCTTCGAGCATGCTGGAGTCTGCACTGTCTGGTACAGGAGCACCGTGTTCTAGCTTGTCGATGTCCTCGGACTTGCGCTTCCTGGCGCTGCGATGTATTGGATCGTCCACGAGCCTCCAGCGCTGACCACTCCCGAAAAACTCCAGCAGGCACTCCGCGGCGCGGTCTTTGGCAAGTCCGTCGGCTAGCACGGCGTCGCTGTGAACCCAGCAAATCTGAAGTCCCGTCTGCTGCTCCTGCTGGCAGATGCCCAAGCACTCGATCCTGGTCCTCTTGTCGCGAAGACCCAGTCCAGCAGACTCGCTCTTCTCGACCGCGTCGGGTGACAAGAAGTCGGGGTCGGGTGGAGATGGCGTCGTTCGCGTGCTGCTTGTTGGTGTGGTCGACTGGGCCGCACTCCAGCTCGTAAATGAACAGGCGCATGTAGCTGATCTTGTCCAGGGTCTCGGTCATCATCTGCACTTCGGCGCTGGTACTGCTTCTAGCTACCCCCGGTAGCCTGCACGATCTGCAAGAAATGGGCGTCACCGTCTCAGCAGAGCCGTCCAGAAAGGAAAGCGGTGTCGGCACGATCATCTCGCCGATGGTCTGGGCTGCCCAAGCGGCGTCGCCCCAGCCGACCGCTGCCAGCTGCTCGAGGGCGGGAATGACCATGAATACGTCGGCGGTGTCTTTCGTGGTGCGGATGAGCTTGTTGATCTTCTGAATCGTGGAGACCGTCGCGGTAGGAGCCTCGGCTTGTAGTCGTGAGATTTCGGCGCTGGGCCAAGGTGCTGACTGTTGAGCTCGCCGGCCGACTGTGCCAAGTCGTCCGCGTAGATCAGGGCGTTCACCATCGGTAGCTCCTTCAGTAGGCGTTCTTCCCCTCTTGATCGGAATCGGATCCATGTTCATGCTGTAGGTGTCCTGGGCGAGGCTGCAAGCGAAATCCTCTTTCTGGCGGGTACTCACTCCACAATGAGCGAAGGCTTTGGTCTCCCAGGGTGTTCACTCGGACGCTTCTTGAATATCCTTGCGCTTCTTCAGAAAGAACGCGTTGGTCTGGTCTTTGGTGGCCATCATGTCGTTCACGTGCAAGATGACCATGCCGACTGGCTTGTTGCCAGCCCTGATGACCCAGACACATGGCTCGCACTGTATGGTCAAACATCCAACCCGAGAAACGAGATCCCAACATAGGAACTCCGAGCACCCGCCAACCTTGGAAACGCTGTTCCCCCAATCCTGGAAACGATGTCCCCAACTCTGGAGACGTTGTTCCCAGCCCTGGAAACGGAAAGGCCGAGCACTGGAAGCGGAAAGGCCGAATCTTGGAAACATAAACGGGAAGTTGTGTTGGGGTAGTTCCATGGGAAGCGTGATGGGTGGGGTTTCCGCGGCTGGAGTGGTGTTTTCGGAGGGTTCCTCGAGTGCCCGGTGTTCGGCTCGGGTGTGGTGCTGTTGCACTGGCGCATGGGCTTGGGGCTTGGGGAAGAAGCCGGGGGAGACGAGGAGGAGGATGGGGGGAGAAGCAGTGGGAGGAGGAGCAGGAAAAGCAGGAGCAGAGGGGGGGAGGAAGCTGCATAAGGCAGCCCGGGAGCCTCCTGGGACAGTCGCGAGGCCCTCTGGGAACTTCTGCACCGCTCCGGGGGCAACCCTGGGAAACTCGGGCGGGTCCTGGAATGTCCACAAAGAAGAGGCGCCACTTAGGGGACCCTGGGTGCCACGTGCGTGCTGCGGCCTGGCGACCGTTCCGCCCTAGTTCGGTGATTTCGTCGGCTTTGCGTGGCGGCGGGGGGGGCCGCCCAGGGAAATTACCAAACTAGGGTATCTCATTGATTTTTCTTTGTCTCTCCCCCTTTTTTAGATGTTGTTTCTCTATCTCTCTCTCTCTCTCTCTTTCTTTCCTGTTCTCTTTCTCTTAATTTTGTTGTTCTTCTCTCTCTCTCTCTCTATCTCTCCTCCTCTCCATTTTCGCCTGTCTGTCAATCCAGTCTGCTTGTTTCCCTTTTGCCCGCCTGCCTGTTTGTCTGCGTCGGGTGCGTCAGCGTATGTGTGCGCGTGTGTGTGTATGTGTGTGCGCGGGCGTACCATGGTCGTTCTCTACGCGGCCACTGGGGCCCTCGCGGGCCAGCTTTTCGACCGCTCCACCCTAGTCTGGTGATTTCGTCGGCTGTGTGTGACGGGGCGGGGCGCGTGTGGGGAAATCACCAAACTAGGGTCTCTCCCTGTGTTGTTTTTCTTCCCTCTCCTTTTTGTTATTCTCTCTCTTTATCTCTTGTCTCCCCCCTCTTTCGTTTCTTTGGAGGGCCTCGTGTGCCCGACTCCTGAGCTGGGCCGTTTGCGCCCTCACTGCACCGCCGCTCGGAACGCTGGTCTCGGAACGGCATCCGTATCCTTATCCTCCTCCTCCACCTCCTCCTCCTCCCTCTTCATGCTTTCCCTCTCCCCCATCCTCCCCCATCCTCCCCTTCCTCTCCACCCCCGTGCAGCTGAAGGGAGGAGGAGGAGGAGGAGGAGGAGGAGGAGGAGGAGGAGGAGGAGGAGGAGGAGGGGAGAGTGAAGAGGATGATGATGGGGAGGGGGAGCAGGAGGATGAGGAGGACGAAAAGGAGGAGGAGGAGGAGGAGGAGGAGCAGGAGGAACAGGAGGAGCAGGAGA